AGTTTCAGAGACCCTGAGGCCCTGCATGCCCACAGGCTCCTACCCACCAGCCTCCAGGGCCTCTGGCAGAACTCCCAGATGGTGGCGTTCACGGTGTGGAGTGGCTGCCTGGAGGTGAGGTTCAGGAAGTGGAAGGTGTAGTAGAAGTTGGAGAAGGCCTGTGGGCAGAGGGGAGAGGCCATGACCAGCCAGGCCATCCCAGGGACCCACTCCCCAGAGCCAGCCATGGCTCTTCCTTCCCACTGCCCCCCCACCCAGGGTGCTCCTGTTCCTTCTGGGGCCAGGCAGCCTCCTGGGGCTCTGAGGGAAGCCATCCTGGGTGGGGGCAGCGAGCGGAACTCACGTAGAACTGGCCCTGCACAGGGGGCTGGTAGACCCCGTTGAAGGCACAGTCTCCTGAGCCCTCGCAGCTGGAGAAGTTGAAGAGCTCCCGGATGGCGGCCAGGCAGGCCCCAGGGTTGCCTGTGCCCTCAACAGTGAGGTTCTGGGTGAGGTCCAGCTGGGCTGCCGTGTGGACACAGGGCGACTCATAGAGGGAGGCCAAGGGCAGTGTGGTCTGGAAACCGCTGAGGTAGCATGGGTGACGAAGGAGGGCCCCAGGGCTGCTCTGCAGGGTCACAGGGGGCTTGAGCTGCAGCCTTGCCTCCCTCCCGCCCTCCCTGGGCCAGCCTGACCTGCACCAGCGCAGCCAGCAGCCTGTTCAGCATCTGGTCCCGCCCAAAGCAGAGGTAGCTGTGAGTGTAGATGCTGTAGTCGGTGCCGTACAGACGCAAGGTCGCCCGGGTGCTCTCGTCCAGGATGGGGCCGCGGGGCAGGAAGCTGATCTGGGTGGAGGCTCCCCCCATGTCCAGGGCACCCACCAGCGTCCCCTCTGCAGGCTGGATCCACTCTCCAGAGGAGTACTAGCCACAGACAGGGCCACTCAGCCCTGGCCAGCCACACCCCGCCCAGGTCCTGGCCAGCCAGCCCCACCCTCGGGCTGCCCACAGCACCTTGACCAGCCTGCCCAGGACATAGTTGATGGTGATCCAAGCAAAAGCACCTTCATCCTGGCCAGCCAGGACCTCAGCACCCCAGAAGTCCAGAGGAGACTGGCCCAGGACCCCAGACACTGCTGCAAGGATGTCCCCTGCCTGCGAGCTGTTCTTCTGGCTGGGCAGTGGAAACCAGGGGCCAGGTGGCAGGAAGCCTGGCCCAGCCCCTGCCCTCCCTGCCCCAGGGCTCTGAGCCCTGGCTTTTGAGCCTGGTTTACCTGAGCAGCCTCATGCCGGCCGTGGCCCCCAGGAACAGGGGTGTTCCTCGGTACTGGTTCTCTGGGATTAGTGCCAGCGCCTCCTCCAGGCAGCCCTTCAGGCTCTCGCCAGCCTGTGTGGGGTCAGAGGTGTAGGAGGAGATTCCAGGCCCTGAAACATAGCACCCCAAGACAAGCTGCAGCCCCGAAGGTGGGTGGGATGTGTGGTGGCCCCAAAGGTCTGACCACATGTGACAGAGCTGGAGCCTGTGGAGGCCCTTCTGAGGTTCTGAGTGACATGCCCTGAGCTTTCTGGCCTCTCACTTGGGGAAGTAGCTTTTCCCTTGCAGGGTCCTGGAGGGCAGGCCCCAGCAGCTGGTGGCCGTGGTGACACGGGGGCTCGAGAGGGCTAGAGCTGGAGAGTGGAGGCCGGGATGGGAGCCCCTTGCAGCGTCTAGGCTGTGTCAGAACAGGCCCTGCTGGGCCCGCCAGGCTGGCATGGGGGGGCGGGGCAGCAGGGCTGTGCGGGTCCCTCCCGTCCCACTGCCCACATGTGGGACCTTGTGTCAGCCACTTCCTTTCTGAGTCCCTCTCCTCGGGCGGATCAGCGCAGGCCGGCGCCTCCCCCCAGCTGAGAGTCCCAGCCAGTCAGCCCCAGCAAGTCCAACACCAGGTAGTGACCCCACCGACCTTCCACCTGGCAAGCCAGGGCCTGGCTGACCAAACCCGTGTCCTTCTCCTTGTCTGCTGGCCACTGGTACACAAAGAGAGAGGTGTGGGAAGAGCCGGCGTCGAGCACAATCCCAAACTGCAGGCAAGACTTGGGTCAGGAGGGTGGGGCAGGCTGATGGCCTTGCCCTCCTGCCTCCTCCTCCCCGCCCAGTCCAGGCACCTTTGTGTCTGCGGGCAGCAGGATGTTGGTGGCCTCCACCAGGATGAGGACCAGCACCGTGAGGCCCGAGGCTGTTGCGGTCCCCAGCAGGGCCATGAAAACTCGCTCCTTCCAGGACAGCGCCATGGCAGCTATGGGGCTGGCGTCTGCAGGGCAGGAGCAGCAGTGGACACCCGGACTCTGCCTGCTGCCCTCACCCTGGCCTCCAGAGGCAGGGTCTTCACTCTCCCAATCTCCCTCCAGAGGCTGCTGTCCTGGACTCTTCCTGAGCCTCAGATAGCCTACCTTGGCCGGAGCAGCGGCTGGGGGCACCATGAGCAGGGCCACCGCCACGCACAGAGCCTGGGGAGGACCCCACTCAGAAGGCCTGTGGCCAGCAGCAGTTGGCTTTGTCTGATGGCACCCTCAGGGCCAAGGCAGGCACTGTGGGCCCACAGATGGGACTGGCAGAGCCCCCTCCAGATCGGGCAGCCCACTCTTCCCACCTCAGGACCCTTGTCCCTCGTCACCACAGGAGGAGCCCAGCTCTGGACTAAACTCGGCCCCAGGCAGAGTCTCTCCTGGAACTGAGGTTAGGCCTGAGCAGGTGAGGTCTGGTGGCCCTGCTGACCCTGATGAGGCCAGGTGTTCCTGGGTGGCTTAACAAACATCTTTCTTTTTGGAAACCCAGCCTTGGAATGTGAATTTGAGACTTTTTGGTTGGCCCCAGAGGGCCTCTAGGCAACTGACCAAGAGTGACCATGAGGCCTGGACATTCACATCCCTCCTCTGCCCTCAGGGCACAATAGGGTCTCAGTCCCCAAGCTACACAATGCAACCCTTGCACAGGGCTTACAGGCTGCCCCTGGCCAGGCCTGCTTCTGGTGCCAGCAGCACAGTGGGCACCGCTGCCCTCGAACTAGCTAGAGCCAGAAATGCACCTTGAGACTTGGATAGGTCAGGACCCGACACCCTGTAACCTATCCTGGTCCCTCGGGAAGACCAATGTCCCAGGTGCTTCACCAAAAGGAGTGGCAGGCAAGGCTGGCTGTGTGTTCTGACCCGAGGCAAGAGAGGACAGGTAACCAGTCCAGGTCCAGCGTCCAAAACCAGCACCCCCAGCCACCTCACAGGCCTAAACAGGCCACAGGCAAGGGCCAAGGACACAGAGACTCCACCTCCAGAAATGTAGTAGCTTAGGTTCTAAGTCTGAGCCCCAGTGAGGAGGAAGAAAGGACGGTGCATGTTCCCACAGTCAGGACAGGACAGTCTCCCCTGGACGGCCCCTGCCCAAGCCAGCCCCTGCCCAGGACAGCCCCCATAACCAGGACAGCCCCTGCCCATGACAGCCCCCACCCCGGACAGCCCCCATAACCAGCACAGCCCCCACCCAGCACAGCCCCCACCCCGGACAGCCCCCATAACCAGGACAGCCCCCACCCAGGAGAGCCGTCATAACCAGGTCAGCCCCTGCCCATGACAGCCCCCACCCCGGACAGCCCCCATAACCAGGACAGCCCCTGCCTAGCACAGCCCCCACCCAGGACAGCCCCTGCCCAGGAGAGCCCTCATAACCAGGACAGCCCCCACCCAGGACAGCCCCCACCCAGGAGAGCCCCCATAACCAGGACAGCCCCCATAACCAGCACAGCCCCCACCCAGCACAGCCCCCACCCAGGAGAGCCCCCATAACCAGGACAGCCCCCACCCAGGACAGCCCCCACCCAGGACAGCCCCCATAACCAGGACAGCCCCCATAACCAGGACAGCCCCCATAACCAGGACAGCCCCCGCCCAGGAGAGCCCTCATAACCAGGACAGCCCCTGCCCAGAACAGCCCCCATAACCAGGACAGCCCCTGCCCAGGACAGACCCTGCTCAGGACAGCCTCTGACCAGGACAGCCGCCACCCAGGACAGCCCCCATAACAAGGACAGCCCCCATAACAAGGACAGCCCCCACCCAGGACAGCCCTTGCCCAGGACAACCCCCATAACCAGGACAGCCCCTGTCCAGCACAGCCCATGGGACCCTCACCTGGGCTGGCAGCCACCTTGCAGAAGCAGGTGAAGGAAGCAGTGTACCTGGGTGCAACTGGCCGTCCTCTTGCACACCTGCTGTCCTCCACCCCTTGTCTATACCCGCCTGGCCCTGGGGTGGTAATGGGGTGGGGCGAGTCTGTCCCTAGCATGCAAAGAATGGACTGCAGCCAGGGGCCCTCCAGCTATGCTGGGCGCTGACTGGCAGTGCCCACCTGGGCCTTGGGCCCAAGGGCAGGGAGGAAGGGTAACACCCCAGTCTTAGAAGGACTTGAGAGCTGCCCTAGGGACAGGTGGGAGGGCAGGTCTGGGGGAAAACCCTACACCCCGAGGCAGTGGACTTTGCTCTCTGCCCCGCCTGTAGGGACCAGGCCAGGGCAGAGTCAGGTGACCAGGAGGCCAGAGGCAGGGAACCCCAGGAGGCCTTCCCCTGGGCCTGTGCTGGCTGTTTTCAGTTGCTCTTACAGTTGCCTCTTTCCTACAAGTGGGGCCTGGGGCACCCTCCAGCATCTTCCCCTTCCCCATAGCCAGCCCCTGGCCTCTGGCCTGTGGACAAGGGACTCTCCCCTGCACACCCACCTGCGCCTCTTGGGTGAACACCAGGAAAGGGATTTGGGTATGTGAGGTGAAGTGTGTCTGACCTGACACAAACTGCGACCCGTGTCCCCTGGGGGGTCCAAGCTGGCTGCACCCCAGCCAGTGCCTGGTGCCAGTTCTCACTTCTGGCCAGTGGGCTCCTCTGGCTTTGCTGCAGAGCATTCCTCAGGACTGAGGCTGCGGGCTGCCAGCCTGCATGTGCCCACAGCGCCTGCTGGAGAGCCCTCAGCTGGGCAGCTGCCCTGACATTCAGCTTAGCGGGCCCTTGCATAGCACACTGGCCAGGGCCGGAGGACAGCTTCTCCCCATCTGCAGCTCAGCTGCTCCTTGCTCTAACTGTGAGTTTCACAGCACACATTTTGAAGTTCCTGGCGAAATCTGATTTGCCGTCTGTTATTTATCGACGTCCTTTCCACTTTGTGGCAGGCCTCTGCTTCCTGCAGGTCCTGATTTCTTTCCCGGGGGTTTGTGCTGTTGTGTTGCACTGTTGGATCTGTCTCTGGGAGGCCAGGGAGGTCTGGACCACGTCCATCCCTCTGCCCTGGGCCACCTGCTCTGCCGCTCCTCCACAGACCCCTCAGCAGCCCTGCAGGAGATGGAGCATCCGGACTGTGTGGGTCTGTCTCCTCCACAGTCACGGCGCAGTCCTCCGCCTCCATCCTGTGGATCACTTCCCTATTGCAGCTGCTGCCCTTCCGCCAGCCTGAGTGTCTGAAGAGCACGGTCCTGACGGCTTTATGGTGCTGAGGAGATGCTCCGAAGGAGAACCGTCTTCCAGTCATGGGCACAGTCTTTGTCGCTCTGCTCCTTCAGGGCTCAGGCCTTCGGCACTCTGCCCTCCTCCTCCGGCTCTCAGCAGATCCAACGCACGTCCCCTTAGAAGGACACCTGACCAGAGTGCTTCGCTTGGGGAAGACGCTGCAGCAGCCCTGCCCCTCACTCTGTGCTGGCGGCCCCTCAGTGGTGCATAGCAAGGCTCGTTTCTCTGCTGCCTGTACCCTGAGGCCTCCCTGAGCTCACAACTAGTTCTAGGGGTCGGCGTGTGGGGCCTGAGCTTCTGACATAGACACCACACTTTCTAGAAATAGGAAGGGCTCCTTTGCCCCTCTGCAACCTGCCTGCCTTGGTTTCTACCCCTGCTTCCTGCCCTGGTGAGGGCTCCTGGCACTCTGGGTGGACGCAGAAGGAATGGGCGTCTCTGCTACCTCCTGTCAGGGCAGTCTTCCAGGCCACTGCTGGGTGAGGCACTGGCCTCCGGGGGTGAAGTTCTGCTCCTGGTACGCCGAGGGGTGGCCATCCTGAGTCGGCTGTGTCTCTAACACACTTTTCATTCCTCAGTTGAAACAGTGGTCTCTTGTCGTGGTTTCTCTGGACTCTCAGCCGAAGGACTGATGGGTGCTGGGCCAGCCTACTTCCTGGATCTGAACTGTGCTGTCTCTGCTCTGTCCTTGTGGTCTGTGGGTTGGGTATTTGTAAGCTCACCTGACCCACGTCCGTGGAGGCCTTCCAGCCCACACTTCAGTACCTTCTAGTCCCCCAGGGACTTGTCCAGAGCAGGAACATCTGAGTGGCCAATGCGCATGTTCCCGGTGCTCGCCATCCCAATCTACTCAGACTCAGACGGGTGTCCTTCTGGGCCTGTGCAGGGTCTGTTTCACGTGTTGTGCTTCTTCTCGGCGACTGCCCTGTGTGCAACACCCAAGCCTCTGCCAGAAGTGAGGTCATGCCGCCCATGGAGGACAAGTGAGCTGGAGGACTTCACTGGCATGAGTTAGGTGCCGGGAGCTCAGGATCAGTCCACAGTGTGCTCTGACATGGATACACAGTGCAAGGTTTTGCACTGACCCCCGAGAAGGCTCAGTGCCAGAGGTTGGCAGGCACCTACCTTGTGCCCTAGGTGTTATGAGGCCAGGCTCAGAACTCCCTCCAAGGCGTGCCATGGAGACTCTAAGTGGCCTTCAGTGTAGGAGCTGGCTGCAAAGCACTTCTCCGCCCTACTCTACCTGGCACTGGATCACACGGCCCTCACTCCAGAAGGATCCTGCCCCATGCCTGGAGGAAGGAGTGCTCCACAGACGCTTGCTGGGTCCCCTCAGTCCACAGCAGCAAGCCTTTGGTGTCCAGTCTGGTTGCCCATGCTCCAGTCACCTGTTCAATGAAGTCTCCATGAAAACCTAAGAAGATAAGCTTCAGAAAGATGTGACCCAGGTGCAGTGGTGCATGCATGTGATCCCAGAGGCCCAGTGGCTCAGAAGGCTGAGACAGGAGGTTCACAAATTCAAAACCAGCTTTGGCAACTTAGCAAGGCCCTAAGCAACTCAATGAGACCCTGACTCTAAATAAAACATTAAAAGAGCTGGGAATGCGGCTCAGTGGTTAAGCACCCCTGAGTTCAATCCCTGATGAAAGAAAGCAAGCAAGCAAGCTCCCAGATGGCTGAGCGCGTGGAAGCAGCCCCTGCCCACACTCACTCTGCAGCTCTTTATCTGCATCCTGTGTGAAGAAAACAGAAGATGCCAGTGACGGCAGGACTTCCCCCGAGTCCTTGAAGCACGCCGTAAAATCAACAACCCCAACCAGAGGTCGTGAGGACAGACTTACAGCTGGGGGGTCAGAGCACAGGTAGGTCAACCTGGGATGCTGCTGGTACCTGGGGCAGTTTTGGTGACGCTGTCCTCCACTTGCAGAGCTGCGCTGGAGCAGAGGCCCCCGCGGGTGTCGGCTGCAGCATCCCGTTGCTTCCTGGTGGGGAGCAACTCCTACCTTTGGGGCCACAGAGTCTGCTTGTGCTGTGAGTGCCCAGCAGGAGAACCCAAGTCTGAGCTGATGTTTCCTTCTGTATCTTCAGCTTTGGGGTCAGGGAAGTGGGATGTGTGGAGAACATGGCTCCCAGGACGTGTGGCACAGGAAGAGGAAGGATGATAGGCTAAGGGACAGGAACTTTGATTCGGAGCCTCATGGGCTGTGATCACAGGCTTCAGTGAGCTACCAGTGGGCTCTAGAGCTGGTGAGCCTGGGGCTGCTCCACCAGGCACAAGGTACTGCAAGACCACGAGAACAGGGAAGCACTGTCCCTCGGTTTCTGCCATCTGTGAACACTAAAATGAGACAGGAGTGAGTTCTGGGTGGGGCCCTGGGGCTGGGCCAAACCCAGATGGTGGTGTGAACCAGCCACCAGCCTCGAGGCCACCACAGAGGAGAGGCTACACCAGGAGGACAGACATTGCCTGAAGGGCAGGACTTGGTCACAGAAGACCTCCCAGCTTCTGGAGCCTTGGCTGATATGGATGCAGAGTTGGGCTGGGTGGCGTCTTGGTGTCCACACAGCCCAGAGGAGCCTGATGGCTGAGCCCTCTCAGCACGGCCGGAGACCGTGCTCCCCAGGAGCAGCTGGGGAGATGATGAGTAGGAGCCACCACTAGGCCTGTTTGCCACCTACAGAGGCCATGAGCAGCACCCAGCAGACTCACCCCACTTTGGAAAATTCCCATGCTTCCTAAATTTAATTACAAAGGCCAAAGGGCAAGGGAAACCCTCTCAAATCCTGAGAAACAAACCTTTTTGCTAACCAGGTTCTGCTCAGACTAGACACCAACCTCGCCAGCCTTGGGGACAGTGGGACACGGCTGATGCTATGGAACATTACAGAACAGGGAAGAACCAGTTCCAGCCACAGAGGAGCCACCTGGGCCACAGTTCACCTGGACTCGTGACCACCCTGTTGTAGTAGATGCCTAGGGAAACCCCCACCTGCCAGTACCATGTGGCCTGACCCATTCCAGCCCTGGCCACAACCAGCTCACGTAAGACGTGAAGGAAGGTGGTCCTATCTTCAGGAGGGACCCGGTACTTCCTGGGAAGATCCCGGTACTCCTCCTACTCACTCACCAGAGCCCAGTTCTCCCCACCCCCCAGGAGGACCCCTACCCACTGTTCCCATGGGAAGCCGACCCGCTTTTCCTCATTCTGGGGCCAAGAACAAACGCCCTCACCGTTCAGTCAACTCTTGGTTTATAACTGGAATCCACAAACCCAGTTTGGGGGTCAGAGATTGCTAATGGGAGAAGAGGCAAGGGAAGTCAAGCCACCACCAACAGCCCCTCCAGGTGTGCTGAGACCCTGGAGGCCTCACCTCAGAGGCGGAGCATCAGCTCACAACAGCCCTCCTGTCCCCAACCTCCGCCTTCCTGTTACCCCTCACCTACAGCCATGAGGGTGGCAGGTACACACCTTACGTCTTCCTTCCCAAGTCTCCATCAGAGCACGCTTGGCCCAGGCCCGGCAGACCACCCGCTGCCACTCAGGCACTGGGGACGTCGTGGGACCTTTTTGCCAGGCCTGGCCTTCTCTGACCAATGGCAGCAGCAGCTGAATAAACACTTTAGTCCAGACTATTTGGTCTTCAAGTGTGGTCAACTGTGAGCACCTATGTGGGCTGGCTTCCCCATGACCAGGACCCAGGTCAGGGAGCCCTTTTTGCTCTGGCAGCTTTGATTTACTGCTGCACCCTCAGGGACAGTTCCAGGAGCCACGTGGAACCTGGGCCTCAGGCAGCTCCTTGAGTTTGCAGATGCTAACAGAACATTAGGTCAGTAGCAAGAGAATGAGAAGGTGGGAGAGTGTAGGACTCTGAGGAGGAGGAGGGAATGTTCATGGTTGCTGAGAAATTGACTAAAGGAAACGCAGGGTATCAGCAGGAGGGACCTGTAATCCCAGCAAGTCACGAGTTCCAGGCCAACCCGGGCAGCTTGGCAATACCCTGTCCCAAAATAAAATGAAAAGGGCTGGGGACATAGCTCAGCAGTGGAGTGTTTGCCTGGCCTGCAGGAGGCCCTGGGTTCTACCTCCAGCACTACACCACAAAGAAGTCAGGTGTCTAAATGAACACTGATGGAGCAGAGTCCTAGCCAGGCCCTATCGGGAGGGTGGAGCTGGTGGAATCAAGGCAGAGCTTACAGCAGAGCTGGTGTACTTGAACATGCTTCCCGTGGAGTGACTATCATGGCAGTTATCGAATCTCACTGGAGTGGAAAGTGGGAGGCATGTGGACCTACCCGTCCAGCAATGTTCATGGGACTTCTAATAGAACCAGGGAGGTGATGGGAGACACAGGGCAGAGCATGAGTGGCAGTGTGCTGGGCTGGACAGGTCTCCACTGGACAGCCCTTGGTGGAGGGCCACTGGGGCTCCAGCAAAGGCTTGGGTGCATCTCCCGACAGACGAGGAGGCTGGATTAGAGAACTCCCCACAAAGGCACCAGCTGTCCTGCTGTGGGGCATTGAAACTGCCTCAGAGAAGAAGGGCTAATCTTGCAACCTGAGGCACCACGGGGTCTTGGGGGACACCAGGGAAACACGTTAATGGGGCAGCACTGCACAGAAGAGCTCCATGATGAAGTGGAAATATTTTACACAGGATCCGCTGCCAGGACTCAGGAGCAGGGATCCCCTTTCCTCTGGGACTGACTCTGGGGCAGCATGAGGCTGTGTGTTCTACCCACATGGAAAGTGCACCATGAACAGCCCTCGACTGACCCACCTAGAACTGCTGGGTTGTGGATAGTGTTCTGTGCACTTGGCGGGAGGCAACTCTCACTGAAGGTCTAAACACAGCAGTTCAGGGAACAGGGTAAATGCCAGGTGAGCTTTTCAGACTCCTGGACATGGTCGGGCAGGCTCCTGGTGGGGCAGAAGGACACCGGAAGCTGGCCTAGAGAAGGGTCGCCATGGGGAACCAGCCCTGAGGCAGGGAGGGGCACATGGTACAGAACCCACATATGCCTCTAAAGGGCTCCCTTTCAGGCTTGGAGGTGCCTGGTGTCCCCAACGTGCTCAGTTCAGGTGGCTATGTGGGTGATGGGATGGGTGGGCATGGGAGACTGCACCAAGATGGCTGGGTCTAAACCTGCTCCTCCTGGCCCTTGCAGCACAGCTGTCTGCCTGTGGCAGAGACCCAGGCTGCAGAGAGCTTCGAGGCAGAGTCCCCAGGGGGAGGCCCTGCACAGAGCCAGCCAGTATGACAGAAGCTAGCGGCCCTGGGGACATGACAGCCTCATCTCTGGGCTTGGCTTGCCCATAGAAAATGAAGGTGCTTGGAGTGCTACAGAGAAGCCAGGCAGGAGCTACCACACGGATTCGGATGGTTGAGTGTCATTTGGACACACTTCCCCTGGAGAGGCTCAACGACAAGGAGCTCGCGGCACAGTCACTGATGCCCAGCTGTGAGCAGGCCTGGGAGAGAAGCGAGGGTGCTCATGGGGTTTCTGAGTTACGGCAGTTCCCGGTCTGTGAGCAGAGAGACCATTCATGGAGTCTCACTGGGGGAGAAGCGGACCTGGCTTGGAAAGGGGAGGAGACTGACCGGGAGAGAAGACACAGGAACACAGAAGGGAGGGAAGGGGAACTGCCGTGACTCAGAAGCTCCACGCGCACCCTCGCCTTCTCTCCCAGGCCTGCTTTCCTCCAGGCCTGAATTCTTTGAAAGAGCAGGTATCAGAGCTTTGTGAATCCAGGTGACCAATGCCCAGGTATGCTGCTAGCCTAGTGTGTTTTTTAGACTAAGAAAAGCCCAGGAGAACACACTCCAGAGACTGATGGTGGGGTTGTGTGCACTCCAGTGAAGAGCAGACCACAAGGGGCCAGTGAAAGGTGGGGCTCACCAGCTGCTCTGCTCACCACCGGCAAAGTCCCTTTGAAAAGAACCGAAGCCTCCCAAGCGCTCGTCACGCAAGACAGCCCACATATACTCCTGAGCTTCTCTGCCACACAGGTGGAGCACCTGCCCAGCCGGAGGTCCTTCTTTCCTCTGGAAAGTGAGGCAAGTGCTTACCTTCCCACCAGGTTCTCCTGCTGGGTCTGGGGAGCTGCGAGGGAGGGTGCCACATTGCCCTGCCACCTTGCAGGGCAGCAACACGCTGGAACTGTGCTAACACTCCTCTTCTTCCCCTTCTGCTGCAGCCATCTTGGAACCCAGGTCTCAGAGCTGAAAGTGCAGAAAGCGGGCAGAGACAGATGAGGTCTCCAACTTGCACAGTTCCCTCTGGACCCCTGGGGTGGGTGCCTGCACCACCCTCTGGCACCACGATATGGCTGGAGCTGGAAACCCTGGCAGCAGACACAGCCTTGGGCTCTGCACCTGTGTGCCTCACTTGTTGGAGTGGGAATGGAAGAAGGGGGCACCTGCTAGACTAGCAGACCAGCACAGTGGCCAAACCTACTGCCACCTCCAAGGTGGAAAAGTTTGCTATTCATAGAGAGAATGATGATAGTTGCTAGGAGTAAAGAAATGGGTAAACAAGTTATGAATGAAGGAAAGTCCAACACTACTGCATTAGTACCTGGGAAGAGGCCCCAAGACAGACGCCATTGCTGCTTTGCTCAGTTATGCCAGATACCTGGGAGGGTGTGGCTGTGTTTACTGAGAACATTTGTGCTTTTAGAATTAGCAAGATCAAATGGAGGGCAGCAAACCCGAGAGGCCTCACCTGGGAGCATATTCATCCAGTATAATGATAGATGTGACTAATTATTAGTGAGTGATGGGATTCTAGTAATGCTTCAGTGTTTTGAATTGGATATCATGTTGCTGTGAGGAATCTGTGCTCAGAAGCCAGGGGTGCTCTATGATATTATGAGATTAATATATATATATATATATATATATATATATATATATATCTCACATCATTTTGCTTATGGTTCCTGGCTCATAACTTCCTCCCCAACTCAGGACATGGAAACTGGACTTTCTCCCTAAAACCCAAAGGACAGGATTCAGAAAGCTTCAGGATAGCCAAACAGGTGGCAGCTCCTCAGGGGTAGGTGCCCAGAGAGGACCTGGATGCTGTGCACCCTTCCCCGACCGTGCCTTCTGTCTTCTCTTTGTAAAGCCTTTATAATAAGGATGTCCTTGCCCTGGAGCACAAGTAAGAACTTCCGTGAGCTCTGTGCCTCCAGCAGGCTGACCAAGCCTGAAAGGGACCGCAGGGCCCCTGATTTGTAGCTGACTGTCAAAGGCACAGGAAACTTACCTGGGCTTGAGGCTGGTGCCTGAAGTCGAGGAGGACAGCCTTGGGAACCAGGCCCTCCACCTGTGGGCCAACGCGACAAGAGACCCTCTAAGGGGAAAAGAGGACACACACACAGGGATGGCCTCAAGAAGACACAGGAGGAGAGAGGTCTTGGAGGAGCCAGCGCAGGACTGTTCTGGGTAGGAAGGACTGCTTTCCCCAGCAGCCCTGCGGCTTCTCCTTTGTCCTTGTCTTGGGCAGCTCTGTGCTGGAGCGAGGGTTCACCTAGCGTCTTGAATCTGGAGGTTCATAGCTTTCACTGAACTTGGGATATTTCAGTCTCATTTCTTCAAATACCATCCTCCTTACCCCACATCCCCACCTCGGTACCCCGCCTCCCCACCTCCGAGCCCCGCCTCCCCACCTCCGTGCCCCGCCTCCCCACCTCCGAGCCCCGCCTCCCCACCTCCGTGCCCCACATTCCCACTGCTTCGGGGGCTCTGGGGGCACTGTCGTCGCATCGCTGCCTTCACGCTCTGCTTGGTCTAGCTCTGGCTTCTCCCTCTCCACGGGCACCATAGAGACTGTCCAGTGAGGTTTTTGGTTTTGGGTGGTTTTGTTTGTTTTTTCAATTTTGGCTATTGTGCTTTTTAGTTCTGGAATTTTTGCTGGTACTTTCTAATGGCTCCGTTTGAGTTTCTTTGTTTTAATTTTCCCCCTTTTGTGGTGCTGCTGATAAACCCAGTGACTGGTATTAAGGAGGCGGCCCAAGCCCCTTAGTCTCTCCCCTAGGTGTGCATCTGTGTGCATGTGCGTGGGTGTGTGTATTCCAGAGAGGGCTGCTTGATTTTTATTACTTTGTGGTGCTGGGGATGGAACCCAGGGCCTCACGCATGCTAGGCAAGCCTCTGCTGCTGAGCCCCAGCCCTTTCTGTTTTGAGTCAGGGTCTTGCTAAATTGCCAAGGCTGACCTGGAATATGCCACCCTTCTGCCTCAGTCTTTGATTGGCTGGGGTTATAGGTGTGCACCGCTGTGCCTGGAGGAAGGATTTTATTTTTTATTTTTGGCACTGGGGATTGAACCCAGGAAGTTGTACCACTGAGTTACACACATCCCCAGTCTTTATTTGTACTGGGGATTGAACCCCCAGGGGCACTTTATGACTGAGCTACATCCTCAGTCTTTTTCTTGTGAGACATGGTCTTAACTAGGGCTAAATTGCTGAGGCTGGCCTTGAACTTGCAATCCTCTTGCCTAAGCCTCCCAGTTTGCTCTGATTCCAAGTGTGCATCACCACACCTGGCTCTTTTTTTAAATTTATTTTTTAAGACAGAATCTGATAAGTTTCTGAGGTTGGCCTTGAACTTGCCATCCTCAGGTATGTT